CTCTCGATAAATAGTATTATGAATTCATCAAGCAACTAAAAAGAGGCACTAGGAAACGAACATAGCAGGCGGAGAGAAGGACGTTTGGCTGGACTGCCAGGTAGAATGCTAACACTGGTATTTGCAACTAACCTCGAACTTGATGCCATCCTTCCAGCCAGTCCACAGAATGCAGTAGTCGGCCGGATAGAATTCGCCATAGTCTGAAAATCCGATGGCGAACCATTCCCATTTGCGCAAAGGCAAATGTATTTCGAACTTGACGAACTGCTGGTCGTAGTCCAGCGACCAGTACATCGAGGTGTTACCGGAGGCATCCAGCGAAATATAAGAAATGCCCTCGGGTAAATCGCGAAGCCCCGCGCACAAATAAAGAAATGCGAAAAATCTGAGAACGCCGATCGGATGCATGTTCGTGTCGTTCACTCGGCAGACGACAAAATGAGGAAAAACTGTTCGTCATTTTGGCTTAAATATGGGGGTGCGCATTTTTTCGGTCGTTCGTGGTCTCCGGTTTTATTGGAAAGCGGGACGATTATGGCATTCTTGTGGGTCTGCTAAATGAACGTGGCGAAAGCAGCGAAGCAGCGCATTTGCAGGGAGGTCACGATAATACGTTCGAATGGAGAGGTGGAGGGGAGAAGAGTTAAAGCTCAAAAACTGCCAGTTTGGGTGTTCCACTGTTCCAGTTTTGGGCACTCGTTGAGTGGAAATTTCAAGTCCGATTTTCTACTGCAATTCGGTGAGTTAGCTCCAAAGAGAAAATTGTATATTTTCTTCGTCTAATACAGGTGTTTTCTAAGTGAGCGGCCAAGCAAAAAAGTACCACAAGTCGGAAAATTTTGTTTCCATTTTGTGGCAAAAATGGGACGTAGACGATATTCCCTTCAAAATGAGATCAGAACGAAGTTCTTACCTATAAAATTCACTGACATATGCGTGCTTGAAGTTGAAGTATTCAAAACCCATATTTTTAGAAAAACAAGTTTGAAGAAAATTGATTAAAAATGCGTTCAAACGTTTTTACTTATATTAGGTCTGTTTGCACGCTTCCAGAAAAGCTGAATCTTCAGTTTTCTGGAATCTGAAAACTGAAAAAACTGAATGTACTGAAATGTCAGCTAAAAGTAGCGTAAAAACAGAAATCTGAAAAAAATCTGAATTATCACTGATAAGAGATGAAATAAATTCATATTTATAACTCACCATCTAGTTTGCAGCTTCACAACAAATAAACTAAACGATGAATAGAGATGAAACTTGGCAGGAATATATAAGAGATATCCATAATTCAAACTTTCAAATTACAAGTTAATCTGAGGCTTAGTTTATGAGAAAAGCGTTTGTGAACGCTGAAAAATATGTAAAACAGGATCACTTGTCACTTTGAAATTGAATAAAAAATTAACCAAACGATCAATGAAGATAAAAGTTAGCAGGAATATGAAGAAAACGTTGTACAATTCGAATTTGGTAGTTTCAAGTCGATTTAATGCCTAATTTGTGAGAAAAGCGTTTGTGAACGGTGAAAAGTATGAACATGAACATCACAGCTAACAGTGATAAGAAACGAAATTGTGAGAAATCATGCAATTTGCATAATCATATGCTTTTACCAGCTTTTACTTTTTAAAACTGTGAAAACCAATGAAAAAAAGTGGACTATTCTGAATTCAAAGTTACTTCATTACACTTGCTGAATATTCAGTCAGTCCAGACTGACTGAAAACTGAATTTTCAGAATATTCAGATTTCTGAATTCTTAAAATTCAGCAAAGCGTGCAAACAGATTTCAGTTTTTTCAGTCAAAGCGTGCAAACGCTTTTCTGAGAAAAATTGTGTCAGAATTCTCAGAATCTGACAATTCTGAAAGCGTGCAAACACACCTATTACAAGTACAAAAATGGGCTTATTTATAACAAGTATGTAGAAACATTATGAAAAACATAAAATCGAGTATAATCAGAATTACAACTTATTTTTGGCGCCACGAAAAAAGTTTGATTGCAGCTGCCAACTTGTGGTGTCTTCAACTTCAAACACAGTTTTACCACACATAGGGGTCGATTTCAGGGTTCTACTTTCATAACTGTAAAGCTTAGACGTTTTGCCAACAGAATTCGCTATAAAACAATTTTAGTGTATTTTGACATTTTTCACAAGTTTGCGTCTAGCTCAAGTTTTTTAGTTTCCGACTTGTGGTACCTTTCTGCTTGGTGGGTCACAGTTTTCGTTTAACTTCGTTGGAAGCAAAAAATAGACTTTGTAGAATCAACTGGATCACGCATGCTTGATTTTCAATGAAAAACATATTAGCTAAGAAAAACTAAAATTCGAATGCAATCCAAGAGACCTCGGTTTTACTTGATAAAATAACGTGCAGTGAAACCTTGTTATAACCAAACCCAAGGGAGTAAAGAAATAGAGTGTTTGTTATAATGAGGATTTGGTTGTAAAGTGTTTTTACCTAAAAATTTCCTGTATTGAGTTTTTCATGATGAAAAAATCAATCATCTGACTGTACTTCGGCACATTGTCACAATTTTTGTCCGTAACATTGTCAATTTGAGACGAGGCAGAAAAGATGCTTTCGTCCGTTCCAAATCTTCGCAGTGAGCTCCTGAGGCCCTAACATCAAATTTTGGTATACCAATTCAATTAACAAGTTTCACAAAATCAATGAAAAAGGAATTCTCAAGAGTATATTTTTTTATTTTGATACTTATTATTTGTGAGGTTATATGGCATGACTCCCCGTGAGTGCCATGGCACCGTGAGTGCCATGGCACCGTGAGTGCCATGGCACCGTGAGTGCCATGGCTCCGTGAGTGCCATGGCACCGTGAGTGCCATGGCACCGTGAGTGCCATGGCACCGTGAGTGCCATGGCACCGTGAGTGCCATGGCACCGTGAGTGCCATGGCACCGTGAGTGCCATGGCACCGTGAGTGCCATGGCTCCGTGAGTGCCATGGCACCGTG